CAGTTCTTCACTGAGCCCTTGATGTACACCACTGATGTAGCGGTAAGCTGCTACCAAGTCCCCTCTCAGCCTTCTCTTTTTCAGGCTGAAGAGTCCCATGTATGGCTTGCTGTGCAAGTCTCTGATCATACAGGTGGCCCTTCTCCGGACTCTCAAGCTTTACCACGTCCTTGTTAAAGTGTGGCACTCAGAACTGGATGCAGTAATCCAGCTGCGGTCTCACCAATGCCAAGTAGAGTGGAAGAACCACTTCTCCAGTTTTGCTGGAGATGCATCGATTGATGCGTGCCAGGGTATTATTTATCCTGTTGGCTATGGTGTCACACGGCCGGCTCATATTCATGCTGTGGTCTATTATTACCCCCAGGTCCCTTTCATTTGTGATGCTGGTCAGTTTGGCGTTTCCAAGCCTATAGGTGTGTATGTGTGTGGGGGGGGACGGGACGACACTTCCCCAGATGGAGCACTTTACATTTCTCAATGTTAAACTTCATTTGATTCCGATCTGCCCAATTTGCTAGCCTGTCTAGGTCTGCCTGTATCTGCAGCCTTCAAACATGACTACACTTCCCCATAACTTGGTGTTGTCCACAAACTTGGCCAGTAAGCTCTTCACCCCCACATCCAAATAATTGATAAAGATATTGAAAAGCACTGGACCAAGCACCAACCTCTGAGGGACACCACTGGCCACTTCTTACCAAGACAACACAGATCCGTTCATTAGAACTCTCTGAGTCCTACCCCATAACCAGCTCTCTACCCACCTGTCTTAGAGTTGAGCCCACAATCCTCCAATGTACTGATGAGAACATCGTGGGATATTGGATCAAAGCCCTTTTGGAAGTCAAGGTATACACTGTTGACCTCTCCCTTATCCAGGTGGCAAGTTACCTGATCGTAAAAGGAGATGAGGTTGGTAAGACAAGACCTACCTGCAATGAAGCCATGCTGGGTGTCATTCAGAATCCTACCTTTTGCAAGCCTAATGCATATAGACTTCTTGATGAATTTTTACAGGATCTTCCCTGGGATAGAAGTTAGGCTAACTGGCCTATAGTTACCCAGGTCCTCCCTCCTCCCCTTCTTGAAGATGGGCACAACATTGGCCCTCTTCCAGCCAAGAGTTTTGGAAAAGTTTTGCCAGCGGTCCCACAATGACTTTGGCCAGCTCCTTCAGCACCCTTGGATGAAGTTCATCTGGTTCTGCTGATTTATATATGTCTAATTTTTTCAAATGATCACATACCAGTTCTACGGTAATAGTAGGAAGGCAGTCATTCCTACCCTGCTCATTCTGTATCTACTCCGGTATGATTTTGCTCTTGGCAGTGAAAGACCGAAACAAAGTAGTCATTCAGTGACCACCGGTAACCAGCTGTCCTGAGTTGTTGAGCAGTGGCCCCGCACTCCCATTTGTTTTCCTCCTGTTCCCTACATACCTAAAGAAGGACTTCTTGTTGTCCTTGACTCCCATCACTAATTTTAGTTCAGTTACTGCCTTAGCCCTTCTAATCTGTTCCCTACAAGTGCAGGCCATTGCTGTATAGTCCTTCTTGGGGCATGCCCCAAGCTTCCATTGTTTGTACACCTTTCTTCTTTCTTAAGAGGTCTGTGATTTCCCTGTTTAGCCAAGAGGGCTTCCCAGACCTTTTGCTACCTTTCCTCTGCATGAAAATGGACTTCCTTGGTGCTTTGAGGATTGTGTCTTTAAGGAACGACCACGCTTCATGCACTCCTTTCACCTTTGGCCCCTGGTCCTGCAGCCCTTTCCTAGTGACCTGAGTTGGTTGAAATTTGCATTTTTGAAGTTCAAAACTTCAGTCCTACTATCTAATTTGTGTGCCTTGCGATGGACGGATAGAAGGAAATGCGGGTAGCAGAGCAGACTGACTGATATTACAGCCTGGCACATGGCACACAGGGGAAATGAAAGGGAATCACAGGGCTATTCAGGGCATGAGAGACAGACAGGAAAGAGGAATGTGCAGGAGACCTGAGTGGAGGACCAGAGAATGCATGGTGTAGGAAAGCAGAAGAGGAGGAGACTGGGCTTGAATATGTAAAAAGAAGGGGAGCACAGAGGGAAAGGTGAGTGTGATCAGAGACTATAAAATGAGAAGAAATTCTAGAGGAGGAAAAGAATATAGAAAGGCTAACAAGAGATTTATTGAGACAGCTCACATTTCTGTGCATATTGCTCAAAGTTGGACTTTGAACCCACATACAAAGTAAATGTGGGCATCTCCTTCTAAAGCTAAAAGTTCTTTTCATTGATTATATTTAATTTCATAAATCGATTTTGTGATTTTTTTTGGAGGAGGTGACATGATTTTCAAATGTTTGCCGGTGGGTTACCATGAGGCATCCTTGTTTGGCCAACACGATATCACAAAAAAAGGAAAGTGAATAACAAGAGAAAAAGGACAGCCAAGAACATTATGATTAGATAATAGAAATTATGATTACTCAATGGACAGAAGAGATATTAACAAAGCTTCTGTACCTGATGAAAAAGATGGTCAACGATGGAGGGAGAGAGATAATAAGCAAGCTGTTATGATGGCACCCTCCCATCTTGGAGGCTATGAGAAGCTGGGTGGGAGGTGAGCAGTATATACATTTTTGTTATCTGTAAAAATTGAGATGTTTGTTCAGTTTAGAGCATAGGGCTATATGATCACGGTGGGCAAGAATCAGGTTTTCTTGGACTGGCAGAAGAATGTTATTGCAAAGTGTTTTCACAAACCTCACACAAAAACCGCTCTGGCTGGAGTGTGATTAAAAATTGGCTGAAAGGAGCAGTGGAATTGTAAGTGAGGCTGCCTAAAGCGTTTTAAAAGAAAATTAGTTGCTTTTATAGCTTTGAATGAAGCTATGGATTTCAGCCAAATCCGAACTCGGAAAAACTAAGGCTTGCAAATACAAGTAAAGAAAAACTAAAAAGTGCTATGTTGAGCAAAAGTAGTGTGAGAAATAAGAGAAATATGAAGTCCCCAAGGACAAAGACTTGCTTGGAAGACAGAATGTTTTGAAAACATAAGAGTTGATATGAGGAACCTCAAAAACCAGCAGAAAATGGATGTGGGACAAGTGATTTGATTTTTAGAGCTGTTTTAAACTGCCAGCAATAGACATGATGATGCATACTGGCAGGCCGGGGGCATTAGTAATGAGACCATGAAGATAGCACCTTTGAGGGTGTTATTTTGAGCCTGGGATCTTCCAGTGGAGGCATCAATTTGAGAGGGCGCACTTTGTCAAATTCTGCTCTCATCCCTGCCTGCCCAATCTGACTGAGCACGCTGGATGAAGGGGATGTATTGTTTTTAGAAAGCCTCGCTGTCATTTTCCTGTAACCACAACCATTTCACAGATTTGTCACTTTGCGCTCAGACACTACCTGGTGATTTTCTGCTAGTCCTTTAAAGTGTCGGTATTATTATTCTCAAGCCTAGTTCCCGGAGAGTCGGAGGAGGTTTTCACGGGAAGGGCCAAACCCAGCGGAGCAGTAGCATAAACACGGTTGAGGAAAGAAAGGGGTCAATGATGACGTTGGCAACTGCGATTTAGAAATCAGTTCTGGGCATGCTTAGCAGCATTTGTTACGATTTTTTTTTTTTTCCTCCCTTAAAAAGCTGAGTAATGCTTCTCCACCCTTTTTGTGACGTCACGCGTTGCACTGCCCGGCGAGCAGGCCCGAGGGCTGTTACTATCAAGTCGTGACGGGCGGGTTGTGTGGTGTGGTGTGTCTGCGCCTCGCCGGGAGCCGTTTGCTCTCTTCCAAACCACACACACACGTATACACACACACATATACACCCCCCTCCCCCAGTCCCGGCCTCCGGGGCAAGGCAGAAAGTCGCAGATGAGGGAAAACTGTAGCTCTCACAAGCCCGGTTTAAAATGTTCCCCCCACGCGCACAGCCTCTCTCCGGCTGCCTCCGGCAT